ACGTTCCACACTCTATTGTGGTGTTTTTGGTACACTATTCCAAACCCCTACATGTGACACTCAAATAGAGTTTATTCAGTTATTTATTTTATTATCTCAAACTGACCTTTTACTCTATATGTAAAGAAATCGTACTTACAAAGGTGTCACGTTTCTCTCGTAGAAATATCCACTGACGTAACGCAAGGACATGGAAACATTAAGTCGTGGTTTGTCGTGATTTTCATCGTTTTTAGCAACATCTTCCTGTGGCTCATCTTGCTCTGCAACTGCAGTTAACATGCCAATTAGAGTACCTTATAATGGTAAAGAGTGATCCTCCTGATCGAATTGTTTAAAATACAGAATTAAAGTAAATTCCATTAACAGAACCCATTAAGATCTACCTTGTAATTCATGCACCCCAGAATAGACATCTTTTCCCTGCAAAATGTTTGCCTTTGAGCCGAAAAGGCTTTTTCTTTTTCTTTTTTCTTTTTTTTTTTTTCGGTTTAGAGCTGATTTTGATGTCACACGACCATTTTCCGTAATTTTATTACTTACTTTCTTTGAAGAACTCGGCATCGTGTTGCTTTTGAAATTTTTTTTCATCAATAGCCTGCTCTCCGTCATCGTCGGGCTGGACAGGATCCTCCCTGTCAACTACGTTAATAAATACAAAAGTTTCTTATTTTTGACAAGAATGAAGATATATTGCAGTTTGGGTAACAGAATTAAACTATGGCTGATCATTCTATGGCTGTATATATCACTTAGTGAAACGTCAGGATTCGGCAGCTTTCGCCTTCCGTTGCTCAGTGGCATTGCTAAGAAACCAAGGCTAAGGCACAAACTTAAGTGACAGCTCAGTAGCGCTTGCGCGCATTGGACGTTGAAAACGCTTCCTACCACAGCAAAAGTTCCTACCACAATCTGCATCGTCATCGTCCTCATCTAAGTCAAACAGAGAAACATCAGAATCGTCATCGGACGAGGAATAGTACTCTTCACCTCCTTCCGCCATTCTGAATCAAAAAAGTACATTATTTAGTAGGGAGTCTAATCAGCGCGGGTCGCAGGCCGTAGGTCGCGGGTACATTATCACGGATCAGTTGGGACATTGTCATGTGCAGTAAGGCTCCTTAGTTGTGGTACTAACAAAACGAGAAATAAATAACCCCTTTCCCGAATCAATGATGAACTTGCGCTAAAACCAAAAGGGATGGTCATAAGTTTTTCATTTGAAACCAGCAAGACAATTTTCAGATACTTTCCTCGGCGCTTCTGGGCTTCAATACTAGAGGGCAAAATGATTTTGACTGCGAGCAGTCTCTTTCTTTTCTTGGCATGCGACGCCAATATCGCCTCAAACCCTTCTCGTTTCCCTCCTGAATTTGCCTAATTTTAACTTTTCCAGTCGCGGGTACAATTTCGGGAACAAAAAGCCACTGTTCGTAATCTAAAAATTATATATTATTTATCATCATGCTGTATATCAATCATTTATAGTTAAATGTTTCAAATGGAATTTAGATATGTCTATTTCTAAGGTCGACTTACACAAAAACTGGATTTTCTATTCTATTTCGCTTCGCTTAGCCGAATAGAAAACATATCTATTGTAAGTAGAGGAGACAAGAAATACAACAAATAGTGGAGGGAGCCGCCAGCAATGATCGAGTTTATTTACGAGAATCTGAGACACGCTGAATACAGGTTACAAGCCAGAGAATATAAGAAAATGTCACACGCTATTTTAAACAACGATCTTAACAATAAGGAAAAAACAGCCTAGAGTAACCTGGTCGGCGTCAAGTGGTGTGATGTTCAAAAGGAGTGGTATATAAAGGCCTGATTATCCCAGTGGGAACTAATACAAATCAACCTAATTAAACACCTAAAAGAAATACATAAACATTTAGTAACCTGCTGGCTGCTACGAGACGTCTGTGAACAAAATCACAATTAAATTATACCCTGGTCCCAGAGGTTTTTCTTGTTTTTTCTTCTTTTCGCAAAGCGGCGAGCGGTTAGTCGCGAAGCGGCGAGACTGTTAATTACAAAAGCGACCAATGGCAACGTAGCAATCACGTTCTTATCAGCCGCTAATGTTTCCACTCAGGTGGTGAAGAGTGGTATCACTTGACCTACTTGGCCGGGGTCAGCGCGCGTGTTTGCGAAAGTGTTTTCCTCCGCAACGATCGCTAAGGTTCTGTCTTGTTAAACATTACTACGGAGCATGTTTCTCCACTTCTCGTTTTGTAAGAAGGACTCTGGACTTCCGAATAGAAAGGCATAAGCTTCTCTGAGCAGATTATTCTCGTCGACGTCTTCACTGCTCAAACTGCAGTAAGGCGAACACATCCTTGCGATTTATGACTGCGAGCAAGGCTTTCTTTTGATGTTCAATCTCTGGAAAACGCTCCTCGAGTACCAAGGTCAAAATTTCGTCGAAGGCACTGTTAGAAACATAATCCATGTCGAATCCCAGGTGGAATCTTGAACGTGTATAAACTGAGAACTCAAGTATTTTACAGCCAAATCCCTTCCCTGGTAGAGGCAAAATTTACCTCAAGAAGTGCAATGACAGATATCCCTACCGTCCCCTCGGTATTACCAATCAAACGAACCAATCATATTGATTTGCGTGTATGTAAAAATATCAACCAATCCGAGTCCGAGGGTCAGATCCTGACCCTGGCGTCTGCATGAAAGTAAGGGTGCCATCCATTATGCCAAAGATTCTGGAAATTTCGGTCGGAATTCAAATGGAAAGGTCCGTTTCGGTTTCTTCTGACCGGAATATTTGGGATCACCTCTGGAGGTGGTCCACTTATTTCGGTCGGAATATTCTGACCGAAATTGGGTGTTCCATTTTTGACAAACCGGTTCTTTG